AATCGAACAACTTAGTTTGTTTGAAGAACTGTTAATTACGGGTAGTTGACATGAATATTGAGAAGGATGCTATTGCAAAACAAAATTTATGGCAACTCTATCGCATAAAAAAAGAATGACATTATTTTTCGCAAAAACACTTGCAATAAACGCCATAGCGACATCCCCAGCAGGTTCAACGAAAATTGAAACTGTGATTACAACGTGTCGTGTACAAAAAAAAATACTCTTTAACTCTCATGTACTCTCACTGTTCGTCGGTTAGTTAACCATCATAAGACTGGCAAAAAGTAACGCATTGGACAGTGTCCGTAGCCCCTAAACTTGCTTGATAACGTCAACCTGATTCTAATATTGTGCGGTAACAATAGCTACAATCGCAATAAAACCCGCTAAGCTCATAAACCTAAATAAGTTGTCGCTACCTACCGGCAACATAAGCTCCTTTCGAGCCAACTTCATTGTTACGCTTGTGCTCGCGAAATCACAGATAGTTATGTTTGAAAAAAGATATGCGTTAACAAAAAGAGTTGTTGAAGAGCAGATAATAAAATAAAACTTACTACAATTATAAAAAAAAGACAAAAAGTTGTCTTGACGACAGTACCATTTCTGAACAGTGGCAGCTTTACTGGAAAAAGACGTAAACAGAATTGTTGCAAAGAATCATCAAAAACACAACCAGACACTTCAGTGTATAAGGAAAACGCTAGTTACACAGTAACCATATTGGATTTGTCGTGTTTCTCAATTAAAGCTTTCACTGCGTCATCAAATCTCTGACATCGGATCGGCATATCTATTGAATAGAATGGGTTCTTCAATGCATAGTCAGCATAAAGCTCATAAATCTTCCGAAGAAGGCTTTCAATACCTACACTTATATTCGCTGTTCCAATTATTACAAATTTGACACCAGTCGTGGACTGGAAGCAGTGTAACCTAAAATAATAAGAGTTAAAAAGTTGTTTTAGTCCTAAACGACAGTCCGAAAAAAGGACGTGTAACAAGACGTTTGACAGTACACTAGCAATTCAGAAACAAGATACAGGACAACCATATTTTTGTCTTTAAAAAAAAGCACAAAAAAACTTTTAAAAAGAAAAATCCGAAAAAATCTTTTGGGCATTTCAAAGTTGCTACAGTTCTCCAAACATCTCATCGGCAACTGTATATCTAAGTTACAGAGAGCAACAAGGCAATAAGAAACAAACTACCTGAACTGGCTGGTAGAAAGCACTTCGATACCGGAACTTTTTGGTACTGGACTTAATTGAGCAGCAATAGTAAATAGAGAATGAAAAGTCGACGACAAAATAATCTTCTCATTTGGAGTGATGACTGGTGGAGCGAAACGGAGGCTTATTGGAAAGTTCTTCGCATCTTTCAAATATTCAAGAACTTGGTACTCTTTATCCTCAAACTTCACCAAACTTCCGTGAACAGGGTACTTGTTGACTCCCACTAGTGTATACCTTAATACTTCAATAATGAAGTATCCAAATGTCGCAAATTAATGCCTGTTCAAAGGCAACAGAAAAATCCACCTTAAACCAATGCCGTCCCGTTCGCCAAAGACCACTGTCACTCTCTGGTCAATCACTTCAAGCACAATATCCACTGGATAACTGAACGTCTTTTCAACACAAATGGCATCACTCTTACCCTCCCAATCGTAAATGAGACTTCCTCCACGATTTATTATAAAAATCCTATATATGGACATGCCTGCCTGACTTGTCCTACAAACTGCTTTTAAAAAAATCACCTCTTTCGAAATGTACAAAGAAATAACACAACGTCAGCGTCACCACTCAACCCCAATATTCCACAATAAAAAACTTCAACCAACCAAGAACAGTAGAACATGTATAACAAGAATGAAATGGAGAACAAAAACACCTTTAACTGCCCGACCCTACCTAAGGGCGACTAGCGGTAATCATAACGATATATAAGATGACACATCATTCACATAACCCTCCGCTGAATACACTATACCAACCAAATACTATTCGGGAAATTCCAAATGAGGCACAGTCTTAACAGCGAAAATGCTACATCCGAACCAGCTTCGTTTGATACCGAAAAAAAAAACTACCAAACTAACTCCATTTCGAGACCGCATAACAGGTTCTCTACGACGCAAGTGCAACATCACAAGGAAACCTCACCAGGCCACCATAAAGCGAATCCAAAAAACAGTTACAAAAATTTAATTCCAGAAACACAAACCTGTATAAATAATTCATTAACGATTAAAATCGTTACAGTCAATAACAAAAACAGATACTGTTTATCATGTACATACTATGAATATCGAACCGTATTAGAAATGTACAGCTTCACATAAACACTTGATAAAAAATTTAGAAAGGAAGTAGATCAGGTTTAACTTGAGTAATAATCCAGCAGTAATTTGAAGGAGAATTAAGAAAAGCTTTTCATTACCTCCCAGTTACAGATGAATAACTTCAAAAAGCCTTCAAACGATAGATGAAATATCGAAAACGAGCCGTCTACTCCTTCAAACTCGCCAAGAATAGGCTAATCTTTGGAAAATTACAACAAAAGATCTCGCTGAGAGGCAACAAACCACGGCTCATCAACTACTCAAGATTACTTCCTCCTCAGTACTCTGCTCCGTAATTTCCTTATCACAAGACTGCCCCCCACACTTCTTATAAGGGCAATTTACGGAAGGCGTCCCAGCATATCTACGTAGTCTACAAAGAAAAAAAGATATAATTTTCTAGGTAGTAAAACAATAACTAAAAAGAAAAAAACTTCACTTTAAAAAACACTGGCGATGTATGAAAGATCCACATTTATAACAACTGAGAGCCTTCTTTTTATAAAAAATGGCTCGTCCACAGTTGGAACACTTGTTAAAGCTTTGGTACTCGGACAGGAAACGAAATAATTCAACAACTCCTCTAACGCCTAACCTCAGAACTCCATCGCTATTCTAAAATCAAGCGAACTTTAATTTTTTCGGGTGTTATCTAATCTTTGAATTGAATTTTCCAAATAAATAATGCCTGCCACAAAACCTAAAAAATAAAAAACCACCAACAAAAGATGCAGCGAAAGTTAAAGAATAAGATGAAAGACGCACAGGAAAAAGGAAAAAAAAGTAATTTAAAATAAAAATTACTTGGAATTTTAAAAAAATAAAAAAAAAAGGGCATCCACTGCATTTTGGTTAGTATGAGTTCGTAATCTTCCAAAAAAAACCTTTTAATACAGCAGCCTCCTCTATAAAGAAATTATATATTCAAGCGTGAGGAAGCAGTGTACCAAACCTTTTCTAAAAACATGTTCCGAACGAGAGAATCAATGAGTTCTTCCGCACGCCTTCTAGAACACCGCATAACCTGAAGGCAATTTTTGACTGTATTGTTGGCCGTAAAAGTTACTTGGTAAAAACAAATGAACTCTCCGGAATGCAACAATTAAAAGTGGATATCACTTTTGTAAACAGTTTCCGGCAAACTAAAAATGCTGGTTTCAAATTTTCAGTTCAAATTAACATCTTTAACTGCTACACTTTATTTATGAACATCTATTCTATGTCAATTTCTAAATCACACCCTCTCCTCACCTCCAGACATCCAGTTAAAAAAGTTCTTGGTAACTTCACTTTCTTAAATGTTGCTTGAACGTTTGAAAAACATATTCTACAGTCACTCGATTTTTATGAGAATCGGAAATGAAGACGCGGCAATTCTTCTATTTGTCTAAGTACCATATTACATTTTTAAATAGCAAAAATAATGCACATGATAAATTTAAAGTGCTCTATGTACAATTTTACAATACTGTATGACTGCACAAGTTTCCTCTAATTACGCCAAACAATAAAAATAGCAAAAAATTCTGCTCTTGGTACCAAATCCCCAAAACTTGACTTTTAATTGTTTATTTCCACTCACAGACTTCAACACCCTTCAAAATAAGTCTAATAGACCTGAAGAAATTTAAACCAAGAAAACTTATAAATAGCAGCCTGTGAAAGAAGTTAAATTACTAGTAATTTCAAATTTTCGGACCAAAGTATCTCATATATATAAAACTATAAATTGAAAAATCTGATAAACTTCAAAGTGGATGTCAGTAGGAAAGTAAACAAGAAAAAACCTACTGAACTGTCGACAATGTTCAGTGCATCAATCTCCGTAATTTCACTATCCGGATGACCACAGATTTCGCTCAGCCATTTCGAAATTAAACCTCTTTCGTCAAGGGAGTATTCAGACAAGTGCGATAAATTATCACAAGCCCCCAATTCGCTAGTCTAAAAAAATTTTGAGTACTTCTCTAATACACTCCAAGAATATTAGCGAAAAACAAAAGAGGTCTTCACGCAAACTTGTCGACATGCTGCACTAAATTTTAAAAGATTCAGGAAAGCTTCAAGGAAGTAAAATGTGGTTAGAAATTTTCAAAAAAAGCTAATTACTGTAATTACCAAAAATTGTACCAGAACAATGTACTCCACATCATCCCTGAACTCGTCTCCGACTCGTACCAAACGGAGTTTCGCACGTCTAATTTCAGCATTAATTATATTTAACAGCTTCTCAACTATAATACTGTCTTCTGATCCAACAAAATCACTAATTTGAATTTCAGCACCATCTACAAAAACAAACTAAAATTCCTGTCAAAGTGACAAAAAAAATTAGTCAGAGACTTAATAATGAGTCAAAAAGCAACAAAACGCTTTGTTTCAAACAGTGTCTAGACAGATATTTCAAATAGTCTCAACCAACCATTAAAATTTTCCGGTTTCGTTAATTCAATAAATTTTCTGTAGAAAACAGGAACCTAAAAACAACTAAATTTCTACACTGGCACTGGACAACATTTTAAATGTCTTCAATATATTTCTAATACATCAAAAATGTTCATCCCTAAAGAACGCTACATCTACCTGTTCTATAAAGAACCAAAACCTAAAAATTAAAATTTTCTCTACAGCCTTGAAAACTCCACTTTCTGCAAACTAAAGTATTTAAAGTAAAAACTGTTATAAATTATAAAGCAAAAGCAAAAAATTTGAAGATCATATTTGAAAAATAAAAACTAACTCTAACTATCCCATATTTCAACATGAACTGCATCAGCTTCTTGTGCAAAATTCCATAAAATTCTACATGGGTATTCGTGCCATTCTCCGCCATCACCAAATACAGAGCAAAAAAGCCTCGCAAAAGTTAATTACAACGACAATTTGCCATAACCGGAGCTGATCTAAACGAGTAAAACATCAGTCGCCAAATAAATTGATTAAACTTCGTCTTCTATTACCATGTCAAGTAATAACCTCCCGGTAACGAAGAAAATCAAAAAATTTTCGGCCAACAAATATTTCCTAGAATAATTAGCTAACAAAAGAATTAGTTTCACTGAGCATAAAAGTTTTGTAAATTGAAAATGAAAACGTGACTCTAACGACAGAACACACATTAACGAAACATACTGCAAATAAAGTGCCTCAGAAGTAACGAGTGGAAAAGCAACAACACAGAATTATTAGAAATATCCAAAACTAACCTGCCAACGTTCAAAGGCAGGCTACCAGAAAGAAAAATTGTAGTTTTGATGATGAGCTATCAGTCGGTAAATTCCGTGAGAACGTTTTGCAATCTATTCGTCACTGCGTCCGCTACTTATACGGGTCTTTAAACCACTTCGTAAAACGGCCAAATTTTGGTCCGCTTTTCAGTGTTTAAGAAGTTACTGTTTTTTACTGTCAACATCTGAACTGCTAGTTTAAACCGTGACGCAACTTCTCTGCTTTGTCGACGACTTCAGAAATTACGATTTGTACTACTTCATTACTGCATGATGGATTTTCCTTTCTAAACCTAATCTTGACCACCTCTTGTGCTTTAACTTTCTTTTTTTTTTAATAAATCGACTGTTTAAGAAATAGATGTGTTTAGTAAGACAAATAAGCATTTCATTTCAACCAACTGCCTTCATTGATTTTACTAGTTACCTTTACAAAATGCACTTTCTCCACGAATAATTGTTACCGCAACGCAGTTCTTTCTACCGCTCCCTCGTGGTAAAATGATATGAGTGACTCCAGTGAGCATTTTACGATTTCTCTAGCGAAAACCATTCTCCTCATAAAGCTCTCTATAATTTCAACAGAAGAAGCGAAAACCACAGAAATTGTGTACAGTAAAGGACTCATTTGGTGTGACTTAGAGTAAACTGCTTTACACTAATAAATTAAACTGAACTATTTTCGAGATCACAGTAAATTAAAAAATTCCGAAAGAGAGCTGACTTTGAAAAACATTTTCTGCACATGTAGTTCTCAATGTAATAGTTCCATCTTGATAACAAGATAGAGGTTACAAGAGCGCCATACGTATAAACAGTACAAACACAAGTCCGGAAAGAAAAGGAATATTCTGAAAAAGGGCTATTAGGGAACTAGATTGTAAATATGAATATTTTTGACAGCAAGAGACTAGATTCACTTTTTTGTTTCAAATTTTTTGAAATTCTTTTATCAGATTATATCTTTGGGAGTTAGGAATGACAAAAAAAAGTTACCAGAGTTAACTTTTTTTTTT